TGAAATGGTTTTATTTTTCACCAGTCTTTGCTTCCCTATTGTGTTATGTCAAATTCCTCTTCCCAGCTGAGTAGCAGTTCCCTTAACGACATCCCAGGCAGACTTCATGACTTTCAAGTCATTTCACACTAGTACTTCTCTCCATTTGAAAACTTCAATTTTGTTTCTTCTATATAAAACCTTGCTTTCTAACACTACAGCCAGGTTTTTTTTGGGGGGGGGTGATTCTTGGTCCATGGGGACTGGCTGTACTTTGGGGTATTCATCATCTTCTTCTACATGAGGTAGGTTAGTTGACCAGCCTCTGGACATCTTTTCTTCTCTTCTTTTTGTTATGGTGAGGAGGGAAGACACAACTGGCACTGTTGTAGCTTTTTGTTGATTGCTATTGCTTTCCAGGCTATTGCTCTCCAGTTACATAGATGCATCTCTCATGGGGGGCATGCAAGAATTGGTTGGAGAGGACTCTTGAGGTCAAGGGCTTCCATTCTGCTCAGTGTCCTGAGCCTGGTCCTGTGCGAGCACTTGTAACCTATTACTGTAGAAATTCCTCACCGGGCCAGCGGTCCTTCTCTGTTGGGTCCTGGTAAAGGGGGTCCAGTTTTCTCCTAGATTCCCACTTGATCATACCAAATTCTAGAAGGGCAAGCTGCAGTACTAAAATAGCCTTTCTCTGTCTTTTTTTTCAATTTGCTTTCCTGTAGCTTAGATGGACATAGGGAAGATCAGGAAAACTCTGCACAAATGGAAACTAACAAGAGGCTGCAAACCCACTATCTATTAGGCACTATCTTAGATCCTTAGCATGTTGGATTGTGGTAGATTTATTTCCCATTAGATCAAGAATTTATGGAAAGAATGTTTGACTCTTGAGGAGTCTTCCTTGTCTCCTTTCCCAGTTTTTTAAAAGGTAGGAAAAGGAAATCAGAATGCTAGAGTGAAAACACTGCAAATAAAGAACCCCTGCTGTTTGTAGTTCTATTGAGAATATGGAGTACTAATATTCTTTGTGTTATTAGCATTAAACATTCATCACCAACTGGGAGCAAAAGGAAAAGTCCAAGTGCTGTCACTTGTTCTCTCATATTCCTATGGGCAGAAGCACCAGAGAAAGCTGTTAGAGAGAATACCGAGAATAACTGAGCTATCCTCGCTCCACTCCCATGTCTCATCGTCATCCATACAATTCTGTTACCCATGTCAGCAGAAGATGCCCAAGACTGAAGACAGTGGCTTATACTCTAGTCTAAGGGCTGCTTGAGCTCAGAACCTTGTCATGTGTGACTTCCCTTCCTTACACTCAATGATCTGTCTTGGGGAACGCAGATGAACCTACCTGCCTCTACTTATCTTTCAGGGATGTTGGAAGAAGACAAATGAGATCATATCTGAAAACCCTTTGGAATAAATGTAATGTATGAATCCAGGGTGACATTACATATGAGACACCATCTTAATCATTCTTCCACCTGCTACCAAGAGATGCCTTTGTGCTGGTTTAAATATAATAGACAGATGCATGGATCCAGGGAGTCTTGAAATCATGGTTCCGCTTGGATTTCTACATGAACTGCTATTTCCTCAAGGAAATGAAACCATCTCTTTATGTCTACTTCCATATCTAAGAAATGGGCAGCAGAGGCATTATCAGGAGTGGGTAAGAGAAGTCTATGGGATGCATAACATATTTTGAAATATATACTAAGCAAATATATGCATGAACATGTATATATGTTGTATTAGACTCATGTCACAATAATGAGAGGAGGTAATTAGTTTAAAAAGACAAAAGCCTTGGATTTGAGGTGTGGCTCAAGTAGTAGAGCACCCACTTTGCTAGTATGAAGCCCTGAGTTTAAACCCCAGTCTCAATCTCCCAAAATTTTTTTTAAATGAGAGAGCAAAGCCTTCTTTACCTCATGGTTCTGGAGGTTACAGTTCAAAATTGGGTAGCTGCATTGCTCTGGGCCTCTGGTGAAAACACTGGGTGGGAATGACAGGCAGTGGTGGGAAGAGTCACATGTTGGAGCAAACTGCTCGTGAAGCAAAGAGAGAAAGAGTGACCCCATTTCCACAATCCTTTACAAGGGCACGCCCTCAATACTTAAGACTATCCCAGAAGGCCCCATCTCCTAAAGGTTCTACCACTTCCCAATGCTATCACCCTGGGAAGCAAACCCTTAACACACAGATCTTTGAGGACATTGAAGGTCTCAACTATAGTGTGCATTAAATGTTATATATTTAATTATTTTATATATCCTTATACCTTTCTATATACCCATCCATGCTCACTTATACATACCCCTTCCACTTAATCGTATGACACAATTAGAGGAGCAAAACTTTTTCAAATTGGTATATACAAATGAAATAGTCAATTCACTGTAATTCAGCTCCATGCTCCCGTCCCCCTGTGTTTGTGTTTGTGTGTGTGTTGGTGGGGGTGGGAGGGATTATGTGTATATTGCCAGACCTTTTCAGTAACTAAAACTTGACTCTTAGCTCCAACTTTCCCTGTACCTTGCCTCTTGTGATGGTGCCTGTGCTACAATGTGACCAAAAGGCATTTAGAGAATAAATGAATACAAGGAGGTTGCAGGCATTCAGAGATAAATTACTTTTAGTCCTCACACATTCTATAAGCTGAACTTTCTTCAATTTTTCTTTTGTTTTAATTTTTTGTTGAACAGAAAATTGTGTTCTTTGCCTTATAACAAATTCCTTTCTTTTCTATTGTTATCGATCTAATCAGACATATATAATTTTGATAGTGTTAGCTTCCGTGCCCACTGAAGACTTTGGTACAACTTGTCCAGGATACCACATCCTGTTTTTTCCTTCTCTTACATCTCCACGGTTGCTTTCTTAAATCAGCCTAATTAAAGCATAGCCATTTGTTATTTATTCCTTAGGCCAAACTGGTTCATCACAAGGATGACCAAGGTAAAGAGCTGAAATAAATGCATAGGAATGGTTTATTTGTGCATCTTTTGGTCCTCACATACAACCTGAACCTTCTGGAAGGGAATTCTGAGTTTTCCCTTTGAGCTGCCTTTTTCTCACCCTTGCTCTCCCTCACCTCCCACTTTCATTAAAATAATACTGAGTTTATTGTCAGCTTAGACATCAGTTCTTCCAATGTTTTTTACAATAATTGTCAATAAGGATTTCCCACTCCTGAACTCCTATAGCATCTCTGTGTCAACGCTTATGAAACTTACCATCCATTGTGGGTATTTGTGTCCATGAATTTTATTTTCACTCTAACCTGTGTCATTCTTACAGGCATGAACTATGTCCTTATACCTTAAAGTAAAAAAAAAAATTGTGTTACAAATGTCTGTTGAGATAATGGACTTAATATATAATTTATAGTGTTTGATAATTATAAAATGAATTATTTTATTCATATTTTTACAAAATGTGTTAATCTAGTACCAATACTGTGAGAGGTAATAATATCCAGCTCTAATAAACAGAAATTACAGAATTTACAGAGTAGTCAGAGACCTGCCAACAAACCAATAAATATGTGACAGTTATAAAATGTAATCAGTGCTATGAAGAAACATGGTTTTATGACAGATCAACAATAGGGAATCTAATTTTATAAAAGATTCTTAGGGAATGTCTCTTTGAGCAGTGATACGTAGATGGAAACTTGGAAGGTCTTTATCATTGACCTGCAATCTGGTAGTGAATCCTGACCATAAGGGAAAATGGGGAAAGTCCCAATCCTGACAAAATTGGGGTTATGGCAATAAGAAAGAAGTGATAAAATGACATAAGCTAGGCAAATATCTGTCCTACTTACCAAAACTAGTTTATGTACTTTTAGAGATTATGCTAGCATTATAGGGAGGGCCAACCCATGCACAGTCGTGAAGATACTTTAATTCAACTTTATCTGACTTAGGAAACCACTGAATGGCTATAAGCACTGAAAAGACATAATACCGTTCGTACGTTGAAGTGATCACATAGCCACTCTGTGATGTGACTAAACGGGGATGGTGGCTGCATCAGCACGTTGACAGTGGACTGGAGCAAAGTGATTGGACTTTACGTATACTTAGGAAACAAGGGACTTAGTGAACAGAGAGTAGCCGAGGTAAAAAGAAAGCATCAAGATGACTCCTGAAAAACAAAAACAGTACATGGGTACAAACTATAGAAAATAGCAAGTAGGTACGTATGTGTATAACATAAATATTTATCTTTGGTGAAACTCAGCTCCTATAAGGAAAGTAGTAATACAGATTTTCATCATTTTGGTAGACTTTTCAAACTATTTGCATGACTACCAGAACACACTTTTCTGCTTAGGTTTTACAAGACAATCACTTTTTGTGAACAGACATAATTAAAACTCATTCCATCATTGTATTGTAGTCATCATAACCATCTTCAACCATTATCTAAAATTATGTTTTCCTTCCCTGTAGTGTGTAGATCTCTGCCCTGGATCTTGTGGGATTCGCAGAATTAACATAGACGTTATTGTATCCCCGGAATGACCTAAATTCTTCACAGCCTAGAGAGGGATTTTAGCATTAATTATTTTCAGTGTATCATAACTACACTTGGCTTTGTAATGAGAAGTAGTCCTAGGTAATAAAAATGTCTGATGTGAATTTTCAGGGTACCTTTCTGTGAATTTCTTAGGTTTAAAATGTGTTAGCTTCTCTAGTGGTGACTTTGAAACACCTTGACTGTGACATCTTTCTATCTAGCACAAAAGACCAGATGGTTTTAGATGACCAGCTGTTCTCAGGGACAAGACAAAGTACTAAACAATATTAAAAATCATAAGTGAGCAAGTTTTGTAATTTGACCCTGCTTTTAAGTTTGCTAGATTGACTACTCCTTCACTCTTCTAGACACAGGGGGCTCTGAAGTAGTTCATTATAATTACTACTTGTGTGTACATTATGTTTGTATTAAAATCGGGGCCAGAATTCACATCGATGTTGCCATAATCTTGATCTCAAGGTGCATAATGAAGTCCACTTTATGGTTAAAATTATCTCAAATAACAGTTGTTTTAGTATTTCTTTGAAAGCCCCTCTTATAACATGACATTTAACTCAAAAGGAAACATTGAAACATTCTAGTGTAATTTTTAAAGATTTGAAGTACTTTCTACCTCTATTATAATAGTTATCACAAGTCCCATTTTTTAAACTGGGCACAAAAATCAAACTTAGAGAAAATGGATTAAAGTTCAACATGACCAAATAAACTTTGACATGAAAAAGAAATTTCCTGCCTGAAAGAGTTATCTTAACGTAACTATAAGTTATTGAAGGAGGTTATGGGATAGCAAGATGTAGAGAGCCTTGAAAAAATTGAGTCCAAATAACTTTGATAAAGTATTGAACTGAAGTAGACATAGCCAGTGTATTATTTCTAAGTTAATATCTCTCAAAATTGTTTATGGATGCTGGTGGCAAAATGGAGAGAAGAAAATTTGATATATTTTTTAAATACACAGAATTTGTATACTTCCTGAAAGAATTTAAGAGTTTTGGCATTTTTGGAACCTATTTTTCCTTTACTATAACCAGTGAGAAAAAAGGAACAGAAATTTGAATGGATGCAAATGGGAAGTTGTCTAGATAACACAAATGCAAAAATACCTGAATGAGGAGATAATGGAAGATGTAAGCTGGGAATAGTAATAGTTATGAATTAATTTTGATCAAGAACTTAAATTCTAGGCATTTATAATTATTTCACTGTTTTGTCTTCATGACATCATGAAGGTAGGTACACATTATTATTTATAACTATTTTTACAAAGCAGGGATGTTTAGATTCAGTGTATTGCCTGAGATTGCACAGCTAGTTGCTGGAGGAGCAGGATCTCACAGGCAGCCTGGTTGCAGACCCTGGTTTTCTCAATGTTCTTTGTAATCTCTTAAAGAAAGGTAAGATCTCAAAGGTCATTTCCAGGTCTGACATAATATTTTATGTACATGTGGTGGGCCATGATAACCCCGAGAACCATCCTGTAAAGCCCTCAGAAGGCCAGGATCATTTTCTGATGTTTTCTGAAATGATTTTCCAATTCCAATCAGAGTGACCATTGCAGTCAGGTTGGAATGGCCACTTAGACATGGATGTTATCTGGAAAGGCAAGATTACTTGCTCAAATTGATTGTTCCAACAAAATAAGGGTTTTTTTCAAGTGGCTTTAAAGGGAGCTCTCTCAGCACTGTTCATTTGAGACAGGGCAATTTTGCTTCTGGTTATATATCTGAGGCATTTTTAAGAGTGCAGATTTCCAGCCTGGCCATTACAGAGTTTGGGAACTGGGGATATACATTTGTAACAAGTGTTCCAGGTGGTTTTCATAGTCAGGAGAGAAAGGGAGGTATTTGCTTAATGTGGTTCCCAACCTTGGCTGTGTGTTGGCATCACCTGGGATGTTTTTAGATAAACCACTGCTGTCTTGATCTTTATCACTGGATATTCTAAAGTGGCTTAGCAGATTTTTAAATGCCCATGTGCCTCTAAATTCACAAATCCCTGCTCTAGAAAGAGCTTTTAAGTCAATGCTCCCAGCCTATCACTGAGCTGGAAATGGAGGAAGATTTCAGTCTATTGAGATTTAATTTATCGCAGTCTTTGGGGTATTTGTGTGTGTTTATT